CCCAGGCCCAGAGTTCAGGCCCTATGAACGGAAAAAAAAAAAAAAAAGGTAGAAATGGTGTTTGAACATAGGGCTTTGTACTTGCTAAGCAGGTGTTCTACCACCTGATTATGCCCCCAGCCCTTTTTTCTTTTAGTTACTTTTTAATGTCTTGTCTTTTTACTAGCATGGTTTGGAAGGCTATCCTACTTATGCTTCCTATGTAGCTAGGAGGACAGCACCTATCATCATTGTGCCTATCTAGGCTGTTCTTGAACCATGATTTCCCACTTTCCACCTCTGAAATAACTTGTACGGACTTAAGTCACTGCATCTACACCAGTTTATTTTTAAACTTCCAACTTTAACTTCTGAAAGTACTTAGGATTTTTAAAATTATGTTTGTAGAAGTTAAAAATATATAAAACTAATATATAACATTTAATTTCACCTTTTCAATCTGCTGAACCACCACTGAGGCTATTCTGTCCAGAAGTAGACTACTGAGGTAGTTAGTTCTAGAAATAAAAGAGGCAACTCCAGAAATGTTTGTGTAATTAATTTCATCCATCAAATGCTGTAAAGTATCAATTGTTTCCTCAAGAAGTGATTCACAAAGCCAGTCTCCTTTTATATATTTAAGTTCCTTCCAAAACATATTAAAATTGCTTCTTTCTTGTAATATCTGAAGACCATGAAGATCTAATTTTTGAAGTAGTTTCAGCTGTTTCCCAGTAATTCTAGTCGAACACCTGTGATCATACTGAATCCATCTTAAAATAGAAGAGGCAAAATCATCCAGTTCACTGAGGTTACACTGTGGTAAAACAGCTTCAATTCGGGATGTCCCCTCTTCACTTATGTGAGGAGAAGGAAGCATGGAAATGGCACAGACCAGAATGGAAACCTCACTTGGTATCACACTGACTTTCAAAGAACTATAAAGAGAGAAAAAGAATAAGATAAATACATCAGCAACAAGAAACAAAAAATATATGAAGCTACAAATTTAAATTTATTACATCTCAGTTCTCAATTATATCAAATAGTAAAACACGGATAAAATTATTATTATTAGCTGGGTGCCGGTGGCTCACACCTGTAATCCTAGCTACTCAAGAAGCTGAGATCTGAGGATCCCGGTTCAAAGCCAGCCAGGTAAGAAAAATCTGTGAGACTCTTACATCCAATAAATCACTCAGAAAACCGGAAGTGGCACTATGGCTCAAGTGATAGAGCACTAGCCTTGAGCTGAAGGACAGCACCCAGGCTCAGAGTTCAAGCCCCAGGATTAGATAGACAGACAGACAGACAGACAGACAGACAGATAGATAGATAGATAGATTGATTGATTGATTGATTATTCATTGATAGGTAAGGAAAGCTTAAAATAAAAATTAACTTAAAAGGAGTTCAATAAGTTCAATGATGGCAAGTCATGAAAGATGACTAACAGAATCCCCAGATGTCCTAAAGAATGTTCTGAATTTTTTTTTTTTTTGGGTCCGGTCATGGGGCCTGAACTCTGGGTCTGGGCACTGTCCCTCAGCTCTTCAGCTCAAGGCTAGCACTCTACCACTTGAGCCACAGAGCCACTTCCAGCTTTTTCTGCTTATGTGGTGCTTAGGAATCAAACCCAGGGCCTCAGGCCTGCAAGGCAAGCATTCTACCACTGAGCCACCTTTCCAGCCCTGTTCTGAATTTTTTTATGAAGAAACAAAAAGGATCAACTGTCAAAAGAATGTTTCTTGTGCCATTACTGAGGAAGGATTTGAACTCAATTTCTAGTAAGAACTATCAGGCTCTAGCATGACCTTGCAAAGGCCCTGATATACAGTGATCATTTGATATTGCTTCCCTTCTCGTGTCTAATATACAGAAAGTCCAATCTTAAAATACACACCTAACAGACGAGATTCTCTACTCCTCCTTTCCCAAATTCACATGGTAACTTTCCCACCACAAAGACAGTAATTATCAAAACAGCAAATAACTGGGCATGGTGACACACACCTGTAATCCTAGCTACTCAGAAGCTGAGAGATCAGGAGGCTTTTAGTTCATGGTCAGCCTGAGGAAAAAGTGCAGGAGACTGCATCTCAGTCAGTAAGACGCTAACCACAGTGGTTCACATCTGTCATCCCAGCTACATAGGAAGCATAAATAGGAACACCATGGTCCAGGACAGCACAGGTAAAAAACAAGATCCTATTCAAAAAGTAACAAAATCAAAAGGAGCTGGAGACATAGCTCAACTAATAGAGGAACCCCCTAGCAACCACAAGACTCTAAGTCCAAACCACATTACCTCCAAATAAAAAAGAAACAAAACAACTATAACAACAAATCAAAAACTAGGACTAGGAGTTTTTTAAGTATCTTTAGGTTCAGAAGTAGGAAATAATCTAAATTAAACACAAATTTGAGTGACTTTGGAATTATTAAATTAGCATAGGAAAGTAATATTCAGTGCTAGCAAGGATACAATTTGATATAGGTATTTTCATTATTAACAAACTTTTCTTTTTAGTCTGTCTGTCGTGGGACTTGAACTCAGGGCCTTGGCGCTGTCATTGGGCTTTTTTTTGCTCAAGGCTAGCACTCTACCACTGTGAGCCACAGTGCCACTTCTGTTTTTCTGGTAGTTAATTGGAGATAAATTTCACAGCTTTTTCTGCCTAAGGTGGCTTCAAACCATGATCTTCAGATCACAGCCTCCTGAGTAGCCACTGGTGCCCATTAGGGCCAGTGCTCTACCATTTGAGCCATAGCTCCAATTCTGGCTTTTTGGTGATTAATTGAAGATCTGAAGTGTCTCACATGCTTTTTCTGCCTGGGCTGGCTTTGAATCGTGATCCTCAGATCTCAGCCTCTGAGTTTGAGTAGCTAGGATTACAGGTGTGAACCACAAATAATTATATCATTTTATATAAATCCATATCTAGTAACCTAAGAAATGATCTAAAATTTACTTAATTCAGGGGCTGGGAAGCTGGCTCAGTGGTAGAACGCTTGCCTTGCATGCATGAGGCCCTGGGTTCGATTCCTCAGCACCACATAAGCAAGAGGAAAAAGCCGGAAGTGGTGCTGTAGCTTAAGTAGTAGAGCGCTAGCCTTGAGCTGAAGAGCTGAGGGACAGTGCCCAGGCCCAGAGTTCAGGCCCCACGACCAAACCAAAAAAAGAAAAATTTACTTAATTCAGACACAAGTAATCACATACTACATGTTCCATTTATACAAAGTACCAAGCCAAAACAAACTCATAGCTAGAACAAGAAATAGTAGTTAATCCTGGGAATGAGAAAGAGGTAAGTATATTTTATTTGGGTTATCTTCATTAAGTTAAAGACAACAGACATATTCTAGTATATGAACTCTCCATTCTCAGAGCTGCTTTCAGTAGGTACTAATAAAACATTTTTGTGATTTAGTTAGATTACATTCTTTTTGTGTGTGGGGGCTGGTCCTGGGGCTTAAATTCAGGGACTGAGGGCGGTCCCTGAGCTTTTATGCTCAAGGCTACCTAGCACTCTACTACTTGAGCCACAGCTTAACTTCCAACTTTTTGGTGGTAAAATGGAGTTAAGAGCCTTGGGACTGTCCTACCTGGGCTCAATCTGAACCATAATCCTCAGATATAAGCCTCCTGAGTAGCTAGGACTAGCAGTATAAGTCACTAGCACCTGGCACATTCCTTCTAATACCAACCTGAAATTGCACACACTGAAGTAACTGTTTGTTTTGAGTGGTACTGGGGTTTGAACTTATGTCTCAAGCCTGGTGGGCAGGCACAAGCCATGCCCCTAGCCAAGGAAAGGTAATTATAAAGCATGAAGCATCTACAATTTTTGTATAACTTCATTTAAAGTTTTCAATGTTGGGCTGGGAGGTGGCTCAGAGGTAGAGCGCTTGCCTTGCATGCATGAGGCCCTGAGTTCGATTCCTCAGCACCACATAAGCAAAAAAGAAAAAAAGCCAGAAGTGGCGCTGTGGCTCAAATGGTAGAACACTAGCCTTGAGCTGAAGAGCTGAGGGACAGCGCCCAGGCCCAGAGTTCAGGCCCCACAACCGGACCCAAAAAAAGTAAAAAATAAAGTTTTCAATGTTAGTCAATGACCCAAAAATACTTTCAGTGGAGCTGGGAGCACAATAGAATGGTAGAGTGCTTGCCTAGCATGCATCAGGCCCTTGCTTCAATCCTCAGTACCACAAAAGAAAAAGAAAGCTTTTGTGTTTTTGTTTTTTTTTTGTCGGTCGTGGGGCTTGAACTCTGGGCTTGGGTGCTGCCCTTGCACTCTTCAGCTCAAGGCGAGTGCTCTACCACTTGAGCTACAGTGCCACTTCCAGTTTTCTAATAGTTTATTGGAGATAAGAGTCTCACAGACTTTACCATCAGGGCTGGCTTTGAACCATGATCCTCAGATCTCAGCCTCCTGAGTAGCTAGGATTACAGGCGTGAGCCACCGGTGCCTGGCTTGTGACAAAATTTTAAATTATAAAGATACATCAGGATTCCTACTATTTAGATTTCATTATTTCTAATCACAGAAAGAAGAAGCAGTAAGTATGCATATAATCATCTTAATAATAACCAAGCCATTTCTGCTAAACTTTCATCTGATAAAACATTAGTTCTTTTTCTTTAGTTCAAATCCTTCTTAATCCTAAGAGTGTATCAATTTATCATGATACAAATCCTTTTGACTGTAGTTGAGAGTCTCTCATGCCTGCTCTTTCAGAAATCATAATATGAAATTAAATTAGTAATGGAAAATGGAGGGGAAAAAGATTAATCTGAACCTAGTACTATTAAAAGTCAATCTGATTTGAATCTCATTTCAGATACAGAATCTTCTTTTTTTCCTGCACTAGAGATTGAACCCAGGCCTCATCCATACTAGTAAAGCACTATATTACTGAACTACATCCTTAGTCCCCATTCTAACTTAAAATAAAAATATTTAATGGAAAATCATAATTTTAGCCTAATAAAAACTCAACAGAAAACTGGATAATTTTCTAACTGTAATGCAAATGCTATATCCATAGGAAAGAATATAATTTTAAATAACAAAGGGAAAATTCTATGTGAAAATACCTTTTTTTACTAACATCATCACTTTATATATGTGTGTATGTGTGTAAACATGTGTATATATGTGTGTGTGTGTGTTAGAGAGATTCTACACATTGAACACAGAAAAACACACATAACAGACAAGCACTCTACCACTGAGGCACAGCTACTAAATTTTGCCTCTAAAAGTTTTTAGCAACTCTGTACATTAAACCAAACAGCTGACATTGTGGCTCAAGTGGTAGTGTATCAGCATGTCACCCAAGCAAAGGTCCAGTACTGGTAGAAAACCAAAACACAAACTGCTGGACTGGAGGTATAGCTCATGTGGTAAAGTGCTAGCCATCAGCAGAAAACCAAGTGAATGTCAGAGGTCAGAGTTTAACTCCCATTACCAGCAAAAAGAAATTGCTGCTAAATTAGAAAATTCAGTTCTAATGAAATATTTCTTTTTTTTTTCTTAATTCAGTACTAGGAATTGAACCCAGGACCTCTAGTTTGCTAGACAAATATTCCATTTAAGATGTACCATCAGCCCATAAATACTTCTATTAATCTTACCTAAGCAGTAAGTCTCTTAGTTTCACAAAAAGCTCCTTACTTTGAAACTGTAGAAATATCAATGCTTGAGTTATCCTCAATAACTCTAGCGGCTTATAGTTATCCAAATATTTATGCAGAACGGAAGCAATTCTAAAGAGAACAACAGACCATTTATTATAACCAGTTCATTTACTTATTTATCAAACATTCACAGAAAGCATTCATGACAGCTGCTCTAAGCTGGAGAAACAGCAATGAATGAGACAAGATTTTCTGCTCTTCCAGAATTATCTCAACATGATAGAAATGTTAACAACTAAAATTAATGAAATAAGAGCATCAATAAAGTACTAATAAAATGTTCAATTATAAATAGTAAGAGTTAAAACTTTTAGTTTCAAAGTAAAATACATATCAGAACAGACATCAGATTTTAGATCCCTTTCCTAACAAAAATCTCTTATCAAACGTTATAAACAATTAGCAAAAGTCATTTATTTTCTTCCCTAAATCCACAAAGCAGAGCTATTCCCAGCACAGTCCCATCCTCAAAGAAAAGTAGTGGGAAATACTAAAAGGCAGTAAGTTGAGGGGAACAAGAAATGTTTCTTTTTCTATCTCTCCTTACTTTAAACTTAAATTACTAAAATTAACCCTGGCAAAAACTTTAAAAAAATAAATAAGAGCAGGGCTCATGCCTGTAATCCTAGCTACTCAGGAGGCTGAGATCTGAAGATCATAGTTCAAAGACAGCCCGGGTAGGAAAGTCCATGAGACTCTTATCTCCAATAAACCACCACAAAACCTAAGTAGTGCCATGGCTCAAGTGGTAGAGCGCTAGCCTTGAACTGAAGAGCTGAGGGACAGCACCCAGGCCCAGAGTTCAAGACCCATGACCAACAAAAATAAAATAAATAAATAAGAAATCAGTTAAAGGAAATGGAACAGAAGGAATATTAAAATAAAGGACCACATTATAATAAAATATACACATATATAATTTTGCAATATATATATATATATATATATATATATGTATATTTTTTCAATTCTATAGATTTTCTCCTTAAATCTCCAGTGATAACACAAGCCAATGTATGGCAATATGGCTTCAAGGTAACATTGTGATGGAACAATTCAAGTTCATATAGTTGTTACCTGTTCTGTAGAAACGTTATTATGGTGTTCTGCTTGAGAATAGTAGTAGTAAATAAAATGAAAGCTGCTATAAATGGTTTTGATAACTCTAGTGTGAAATAACAAATCTTAACATAAATTAATGCCTTAAGGGACAATTCCTTATTTCTTCAAAGAAACAATTATAGAAGACAGTTACTCATAAGTAACAACTAAACAATATGAACTTCAGGAAACTCTACTTTTTAATCAAATGTGAGTTTCTGCTTTCCATAGCTTCCATTGCTCCCACCACTGCCAAGGCTTGCTGGCTGGTCAGCTCCTCTGACATCAATAACAGAGTTGACTGAAGTCTAGAAGAATTAGAATTAAAATTAGAATCAGCTTGAAAAACTGAAAAATTACTTTATCAATAAAACAATTCTTGGGTAATTATACAGGAAAAGAAATAAACAGGAGGGGCTGGAAGATGGCTCAGTGGTAGAGCACTTGCCTTGCATGCCTGAGGCACTGGGTTCGATTCCCCAGCATCACATAAGCAAAAAGAAAAAAGCCGGAAGTGGCGCTATGGCTCAAGTGGTAGAGCACTAGCCTTGAGCTGAAGAGCTGAGGGACAGTGCCCAGGCCCAGAGTTCAGGCCCCACAACGGGACCTCAAAAAAAAAAAAGAAAGAAACAGGAAAGAAATAATATAGATAAAATTGAATTCCTTTGTAATTCTAATTTTCTCATTCTACCTCCCCTCTTATTCGGGGTTAACATAAAACATTAAATAAAGAAAAGTAGTTACCTTGCAAGTAATTAAGGTCCCAGTATAATCTAATAATACACTGTTTTAATTAAAAACCAGAACTTTGCTGGAAAGTGAGAGAAAAGATGAGACTGCTCAAAAAGTAATATACTAATTACCTAACTTATGTAACTATAGCCCCTCTGTATATCACCTCTACAATAACAATAAAAACAAAAACAAAAAACAGAATTATGAGTTGGGAGTTGGTGATTTATGCCTGTAATCCAAGCTACTCAGGAGGCTGAGATCTGAGATCATGGTTCAAAAGCTAGCCCAGGCAATAAACTCAGTGAGTCTCTTACCTCTAATCAACCAACAAAAATTGTAGAAGTGGAGTTGTTGTTCAAAGTGGTAAAGCGATAGCATTGAGCACAAAAGCTTAGGGAAAATGCCCAGACTCTAAGTTCAAGCCCCTAGACAGGCGCGCACACACACACACACACACACACACACACACAAAACCCAGGTGCTAGGAAGGTGGCTCAGTAGTAGAGTGCTTGCCTTGCATGCACACACACACACACACACACACACACACACACACACACACAAAACCCAGGTGCTAGGAAGGTGGCTCAGTAGTAGAGTGCTTGCCTTGCATGCATGAGGCCCTGGGTTCAATTCCTCAGCAGCACACAAACAGAAAAAAATCCAGAAGTGGCGCTGTGGCTCAAGTGGTAGAGCACTAGCCTTAAGCTGAAGAGCTCAGGGACAGTGCCCAGGCCCAGAGTTCAGGTCCCATGACCAACAACAACAACAACAAAAGTGTAAAACCCAGCTTTTTCCCAAAGCATTTCTCAACCACCTCAGATTACATTTGTCTTTCACATCTGTACTCACAACACTTACTGCATATACACTGATTTTAGTACCTAATAGAAGCTATGCTGTACTATAATGATATTTATATATGTTATTTCTAATTCCAATAAGAGTACATGTAATTAGTAAACTTACTTTTCTCCTAATTGAAATATATTCCTTGAAAACAGGAACCTCCTGAGTCACTAGGATTATAGGCACAAGTCATCAGCAGCCAACCCTGCTTTTTTATTTTCTCTTTTGTCAGTTGTGAGGCTTGAACTTGAGACCTGGGTGTTGTCCCTGACCTCTTTTGCTCAAGACTAGCACTCTACCACTTTGAGCCACAGCACCACTTCCGGTTTCCTAGTGGTTAAATGTAGATAAAATCTCACAGACTTTCCAGTCCAAGCTGGCTTTGAGCCACAATCCTCAGATCTCAGCCTCCTGAGTAGCTAGAATTACAGGTATGAGCCACTAGCACCTGGCTAGCCAATTTTGTTTTTTTTTTTGCCAGTGCTGGGGCTTGAACTAAGGGCCTAGGCACTGTTCCTGAGCTACTTTGCTCAAGACTAGCACTCAACCACTTGAACCACAGTGGTACTTCCAGCTTTTTTGTTTATGTGGTACTGAGGAATCAAACCCAGAGCTTCAAGCATGCTAGGCAAGCACTTTACCACTAAGCCAACTTCCCAGCCCAGGCCATTTTTTTTTAATAGTGTATATCAATTTTATAAAGGAGGGTCATTATATTTCTATGTATGCATATATTTTGAACCAATTCAAACCTCTTATAAAATGGAATAATCATCCAGTTTCTATACAAACTCAATATATACCCCTAAATTTTTTCAAATAATTCAATGGATTCCTAAAAAAAAATTATAAGTAATCATGTAGATTCTTCAGCTCTTAGAACCCCTACTTAAATGAATTTACACTAAGGAGGCTGTGGCAGGAGGTTACTATGTTCCAAACTAGTCTAGTCTGGTCTACATAGTAAAATCATCTCAAAAAGAAAAAAAAATGAAAAAGAAAGGAAAAGGCAAGACAAAACAAGAAAGACTACTATAATTCTAAATATCCTATACAGTTGTAGGCTGACTAGAGAAATCTTATGCTGTGTGTCATATCCAATCAATCAACTTAGGAAATGTTAATTTCATGTGTCAGTAATATTTATATATTAATGTTACATTTGTTCATCTTCATATAACAAGAACAGTATTTCTATATCTACCATATCCAACAAAACTGCATTTTTTTGGTGCCAGTCTGGGACTTGAACTCAGGGCCTGGGTGCCATTCCTGAGCTTCTTTGCTCAAGGCTAGCACTTTATCACTTGACCAATAGCTCTACTTTTGACATTTACTAGGTAGGGAATATTACGCCTGTGTTAACTCCAGTCACATGGCCTAGGAAAGGAGAATAAATTGGTTGAGCACCAGAGATTTATTGACCACCTTTTAAAATATAATAGTACATTAAGAGTTGAAGATGCAAATAAGAATTATCAAAAAAAATTAATTTGGAGCTGGAAATGTGGCTTAGTGGTACAGTGTTTGCCTGCCAGGCATGAAGCCCTGGGTTCAGTTTCTCAGTACTACTTAAACAGAAAAGGTCAGAAGTGGCACTGTGGCTGAAGTAACAGCGTGCTAGCCTTAAGCAAAAGAAGCTCAGGGACACTGCCCAGGCCCTGAGTTCAAGCCCCAAGACTGGCAAAAAAAAAAAAAAAAATTAATTTGAAATGCTAGTATACATCTGTAATAATCGCTATTTGGGAAGCTTAGGCAGAAAGATAGCTGGTTTGAAGGCAGCCTAGGGTTCTTAGCAAGTTCCAAGTCAGCCTGAGCTATGTAGTGGGACTTGACATAGAACAGAAGTAAAAATAATAAATAAATTAAAATTTAATGAAAAGATTCAGAGACAGCTTTGTTGGTATAGCACAGGCATGGCATATGAAAGACCCTAGTTTCGATCCTCAGAACTACACTTTTTAAATTAAATAATAAAATAAAAACAAAGAGCTAAGCAGTGAGGATTATTTGATTTTTGTTCCTTCTAGAGATAAAGAGGCCTAAGCATGAAAGCTGTATATATTCCCACCAGGAAAAGTAAAGCATTTGAAACTGAACTTACCGTTTCTTTTCTTCAGGTCCTGCTATTGGTCCCAATGTGACAAACAATTTTACAAAGTTATCAGGGTGATCAGACAGAGGAATCATCTCTGATAGCCTCTTTTTAGCCATTATAGTAAATTCAAAACTATGGAACTGCAGAACTTGATAGAAACCAAGTATTTTACTGATAGAATCCAAATTAAGGTGGTTTATATTGCTTAAAAACACTTTATTACATTTCTCTAATAGTGGATAATAACTATGTTTAACATTTCGAAGAAACTGAACTATTCTTCTTGAAACATTGACATTGGAAGCATCTACAGTGTCAAAAAGTAGCTCTGCTTTTTTCACTAATTGTTCTTGAAAACACCGTGATATTAAAGCAGATATGCTGACCATCAAGACAGACAAGGACCTGAAGAAGAAAAATGACAAAGATTTTACATTATTGAACAAAACTGATCAATTCTAGAACTAAATATCTAGACCTGAAAAAGTAGTAGTAAACATATTGTTTTCTATCATAATTGTTTTCTTTTAAATATTAGTGGGACTTGAATTCAGATTTCTCAGTGATCACATGCTTTAGAGAAAAACAGTGAAATAAACCAGATGCTGGTGGCTCCTATCTGTAATCCTAGGTACTAAGTAAGCTGAGATCTGAGAATCACAATTTGAAGTAAGCCCAGGCAGGCAAAACTTTTGATCTCCAATTAAAATAGCCAAAAAGGGAATTGTGGCTCAAGTGGTAACACACCAGCCTTGAGCAAAAAAGCTCCAGGAAAACACCCAGGCCCTGAGTTCAAGCCCTATGGATCAGTACAAAAAAGAAAAGAAAGAAAACAATATTTTTCATTAAATATATAAAATACTTCAATCTATAAATAAAACTACTTGATGCTAAGAATTCTGGTGAAATTCACTCAGAAATCAAATTGGACCATCAGTCTATGAATATTATATTAAAAGTCTCATTTTGTATCTTTTTAGAAGCTGACTTTCTTTTTTTTTTTCTTTTTTTTTGGGGGGGGGACTCTGGGCCTGGGCACTGTCCCTCAGCTCTTCAGCTCCAGGCTAGCACTCTACCACTTGAGCCACAGCGCCACTTCTGGCTTTTTTCTTTTTGCTTATGTGGTGCTAAGGAATCGAACCCAGGGCCTCAGGCATGCAAGGCAAGCGCTCTACCACTGAGCTACCTTCCCAGTCCTAGAAGTTGACTTTCTTGTATCTTTTCTGTGTATAAGCAAAGTCTTAGCAAAATGTTTGCTACTAGCAAATGATTGCATAATTCTTAGTATTTCATGGTAGACTAAAATCAATATATAACAGTAAGAGTTTAAAAAACATGGAGTGACACTATTTCTTCACTCAATAAACATTTAAGAAGCATTAAAAATCTCAGACTAGTCACATATCTCAATAATACTGTGTTGCATTTTATAAAATATAAAATGCAAAGTATTACCATCACTGCTTTATAGACAAATTTTCAAGAGGAAAATTAGTCATAGATGGACTTTTGAGACTTAATTAGACAAAACTAAGATTGGCAAATGTGTATCTACATCCAAAGCTCAGTACCTTTTATACTCCAACAGAAAATGTCTAAATCAATTTACCTTAAATCCTTTATGGTTTCTAAGTTCCTATTTACAATAGCAGCTATTTCTCCCATTAATGGACTACAGTACAAATGCTGATCTGCTAGGCATGTGGAAAACATTGACAGCACATTCATATCAAACCTATTAAAGGAAATAAAAAAATTAGATCATTAGCCAGGTGCCAGTGGCTCATGCTATAATCCTAGCTACTCAGGAGGCTGAGACCTGAGGATCACAGTTCAAAGCCAGACCCGGAAGGAAAGTCTGTGAGACTCTTATCTCCAATTAACCAGGAGAAAACTGGAAGTGGTGCTGTAGCTCAAGTGATACAGCGCTCACCTTGAGCTGAAGAGCTTAGGGACAGTGCCCAGGCCCAGAGTACAAACCCCACAACTGACAAAAATAAATAAATAAAAAATAGGTCATTAACATTTACTCTTTTTTTTTATAAACGTTTTTTGTTTTTTGTTTTGCCAGTCATGGGACCTGAACTCTCGGCCTGGGCGCTGTCCCTCAACTCTTCAGCTCAAGGCTAGCACTCTACCACTTGAGCCACAGCGCCACTTCTGGCCTTTTCTGCTTATGTGGTGCTGAGGAATCGAACCCAGGGCCTCATGCATGCAAGGCAAGCACTCTACCACTGAGCCACCTTCCCAGCCCTAAACGTATTTTTTTATTGTGAAAATACTGTACAGAGGGGTTACAATTACATGAGCAAGATAATGAGTATATTTCTTATCAAGCATTGTAGCCTCCTCCTTTGTTTCCCTTACCCATCCCTTCGAATCCTCCACCCTCTCCCTCACCCCCCCCACCAAAGTTGTAAAGTTCGTTTTTCTACAAACGACGTGTACATCTCATTGTTGCAATGGGTCCTCCTGTATCCCTGTTTTAACAATTTGTTTTTTCCCTTCCCCTCCACATATACCAACATCAAATACAGTGAAAGCAGGGGTTATACCATGGGGGGAGGGACATACAAAGCAACAAAGACATAATCTTATAAATATAACATTTACTCTTAATTAAAACATGATGCAGTAGAAAATAAAAGGTAAAGGATGACAATGACCAAGAAGTATTGTACTCATAACCTCATATATGGAATTGTAACTCCTTTGTACAACTAGGTAATAATAATAATAATAACAAAAACAGTAAGCTGGGCACTAGTGGCTTATACATATAATACTAGCTACTCAGGAGACTGAAATCTAAGAATGATAGCATGAAGCCAGTCTGGGCAGGAAAGTCCATGAGACTCCTATCCCCAATAAACTACCAGAAAACCAAAAGGGATGCCATGATTCAAAGTGGTAGAGCACTAGTAGCCTTAAGCAAGAACTCACAGACAAGCCAGGCACTGGTGGCTCACGCATATAATCCTAGCTACTCAGAAGGCTGAGATCTGAGGATCTCAGTTCAAAGCCAGACCGGGCAGGAAAGTCCATGAGACTCTTATCTCTAATAAACCACTAGAAAACCGGAAGTAGCACTGTGGCTCAAGTGGGAGAGCGTTGCCTTGAGCTGAAGAGCGCAGGGACAGTGCCCAGGCCCAGAGTTCAAGCCCCACAACAGACCAAAAACCCCCCAAAAACTCAGTGTCAGGCCCTGAGTTCAAGACCATGATCAACAAAAAAAGCCAGTGGTAGTTCATGTGGTCAAGAACTAGCCTTGAGTAAAAAAAGTTATAGTGCCCAGACCCAGAGTGCAAGCCACTGTATTGACATCAAAAACAAGAAGGAAAAAAGAGAGAGAAGGAGGGAGGGAGAGAGAGAAAGAAAGAGAGGGAAAAAAACTATCTTAGATTAGAACTTTTTTTTTTTCCATTATAGAGCCTGAATTCTGTGCCTGGGCGCTGTTCCTCAGCTCTTCAGCTCAACGATAGCACTCTACCCACTTAAGCCACAGTGCCACTTTCGGCTTTTTCCATTTATCTGATGCTGAGGAATCACACCTCCACAACTGAGCCACCTTCCCAGCCCCTAGAAGTAACATTTTTATTGCCTTTTCTGTGAAATCTCACTGTAAGAGTTCATTATGGTAACTCTAAAAAAGATAATTGTGATGTTATAATGAATTTATAGTACTTACCTTTCCAGTCTCTCCCATGCTTCTGTTACTAGTGCTTCAACTATCGGATCATGGGCCTCAACTGCAAATCTCAAGAAAAACATGAGAAAATAATTTTCCATATATAAATATTTTAAAACAATTAAAACTAGAGAGATGGGTGACAATGTTGTCAGATACTTTGTACTCATACTGTTTTGTAGAATGGGAACTTCTTTGTACAACTACTTGAAGATAACTTAACAAAATTTTAAATAATAATTAAAACTACACTTAGCAAAGTATATACATATATGAAAATATTCATGAAACTCATTATTTTATACAATTTATAAGCCAATTAAAATAATACTAACAAATATTTAAAAACACATGCAAGCTATATATATCAGGCATCCCATCACTCAGGAGGTTGAGGCTGGAGAATCTAGAGTTCAAGGCCTGCCTGGGCTACATAGTAAGACCCTGTCTCAACAATATGCTGAGCTGGGTGCCAGTGGCTCAGGCCTATTATCCTGGCTACTTAGGAGGCTGTGATATGAGGATCACGGTTCAAAGCCAGTTGGACAGAAAAGACCGTGAGACTCTTATCTCCAATTAACCATCAAAAAGCCAGAAGTAGAGCTGTGAATCAACTGGTAGAGTGCTAGCCTTGAGCTCAGGGACAAGACCCAAGCCCTGAGTTTGAGTTTAAGCACAGGACCAGCACCAAAAAAAAGGCATATTAGGATGCACTTTATACCATATTTTCACAATTTAAAAAACTTAATAAAAAAGATGCACTTTACTAGCTTCTGATTTGTTATTAGGCATTAATTTGAAGTCTAAGTTAGGAGCTAGTAACTCAGGAGACTTAAGGATTTGGGTTCAAAGCCAACCTAGAAATACAAATTCAAGCTGGGCATTGGAGGCTAAAACCTGTAATCCCTGCTACTCACAAAGTTGAGATCTGAGTACTGAGGTTGAAGTCAGCCCAGGCAAGAAAGTCCCTGTGAGACTCTTCTTTTTTTTAATAAGTTTTTTATTGTGAAAATACTGTTCAGAGGGGTTACAATCACATGAGCAAGGTAATGAGTACATTTCTTATCAAGTATTGTTGCCTCCTCCTTTGTTTTTCCCCTACCATCACTTCCTTCCCATCTCCAAGACTACATTCCCCGTACCCCCACCCCCATACCCCTGCCTAAATTGTGAAGTTCGTTTTTCAACATAATGTCTTATACATCTCATTGGAAGGTGGCTCAGTGGTAGAGTGCTTGCCTTGCAGGCCTGAGGCCCTGGGTTCGATTCCTCAGCACCACATAAAAAAAAAAGAAAGAAAAAAGCCAGAAGTGGCGCTGTGGCTCAAGTGGTAGAGGCTAGCCTTGAGCTGAAGAGCTGAGGGACAGCGCCCAGGCCCAGAGT